TGGATGGATAGGTGGATGGTTGGATGGATGGATGGGTGGGTGGATGGGTGGATGGGTGGATGGGTGGGTGGATGGGAGGGTGGATAAATGGATGGACGGGTGGGTGGATGGATGGATGGCCAGACAGATGACTGGATTGGTCAGAAGGGTAAGCTGATGAAATAAAAGAATCGAGAAACAATTGCAGGTTGGCTGGGGGGATGGGCAGAGTAATGGCCAGACATGCTGCCTAGAGTAGGCTAGAACAGGCAGGATGGGTGGATAACAATGAAGGGATTTTGGTGTCATTTTGAGGATATATTTGGGAAAATTGGCAAAAGAGAAAGTTAGGGCCTGTCCTGATCCCTTTCCACCACGTCATTGAGATGAAACTAAAACCAATACCTCCCAGCCCCTCTCCCATCCATCTCCCCCTGCTGCTGAAGCTCTAGAGGCCTCTAGTGAGTGGCTCCACCTGTGGATCCCATGGGGAAGCCCCTTGCCTGGGCATCTGGCCCCTGTTGTCCTGGCCCTGACCCTTCTGGACCCCCAAGACTGCCTCCATCTGTCCTCTTTGCTCCTGGTAACACTTGAGGCTTCCCTTTGGTCCCGGTGAGCTGTGGGGATGGGGACCCTCTATTCCGATGGGGTCTGGGGTGCGCCAACCTATTCACATGTGGAGGAGGCAGCACTGGTCCTTGTACGGACACCCCCCAGACACCACCTGGGGATGGTGACATGTCCTAACGGAAAGGCCAGCCTGCGTCCAGGGCAGGATGGGAAACAGGGGAGGCGGAGGAAGGGGTGGGAAAGGTCAAGGGGTCACACACTGGGGAGTGAGAGGGCCTAGGGGTGCCAGCATCCATCTCGTTGTTTCCCCCCCACCCCCCACCCTTCTGTGCACCGTATGTGGCCGGGCTCTGGACGAGGGAGCTCTGGCTGCCACCTGACCTGCCAGTCTCGCTCTGCCTTCCTGTGGCAGCTTTGGGCTCAGAACAGGAGAGGAGCCCTTTTAGTTTGATTTAGGGGGAGGGAGCCTCCATGAACATCTGCATCTCACTGAGGGTTTGGGTCACCTGTGTGTCTAACCCTGGTGGTGGCCGGCGGAAGGAGACCCTTGCACGCTGCCCTTCTGGCCAGTGGTTCATAAACTCAGGAGGTAACAGGGCATGATAGTCTCTGAGCAGAGGGCAGGAGGCTAGATCCCCTTCTGTAGATCCCCCCCTTTACCCGAGACAGGTGCACACTCCAGCCCGTCTCCTACAACAGAAACTCTGCCACAGACCCTCCCCAAAGCTATCGATTCTGTGTTTGGTTCTGCTGTGAGGTCTTTGGCCGAATGGGGCCTGAGCACAGTGACGGACAGGAACACAAGCTCCCAAAACACGGGCTGAGCCCCAGGGCCCCTCTCAGCCTTCCCTGGGTGGAAGGAGCTGCTGAGCACTGGTGGACACGGCGGACACGGCACTTATCAGGGTATCTCCCTGCTGCTGGCTCTGGGCCTCAGCTTCCTCACTGCAGGCCCCCTAACCCACCCGGCTGCCGTGCCCTGATCCTGCCATGCTCTCAGCCTGCAGGGGCTCCATCCATCAGCCTGGGGTCGGCTCTTGATGCCGGGCTACTGCAGCCCCCTGGAGGCTGGCTTCTTGATATAGGGGACAGGGATGTGGGAACCACACCGGGAAGATGGCCTTTTAGAGCTGGCTTGAGGGTGACCTGTTCCCAACAGCTAGGGTGGGAGGGTCTGCCCCAACTCGGACCCTGGGCCTCTGGTGTGGCAGGGGCACCCCCAGCCAGCCGACATGCTATACTCCGTGGTGCACCTGTTTGTCCCCAGAGGGAGGCCTTGTGAGGGGCAGGGAGACAGGCTGGCAGAACAGACCAGCGGGTCCCAGGTGAGGGCTCCTGCAGGCCTCGCCTCAGACCAGCGGCCTCACTCCAGTCCCGACCTCAGGGACATGGCTCATCAGGGCCTTAGACCTGCTCGCCCAGACCCCCCGTGTACCCAGGGCAGACACTCTCTGGACACAACCTTGGGGAACAGAGTCCAAAAGCACCTGCCTCCAAGGTGCACATCCAAAACTACTGTTTTCATAGGTTCAGCACTTGCCAGAGAGAAAGACAGAAGCCTGGACACATGACAGGTGGGATTCCATCCAGAGTCCCATCGAGAGCCCAAATCCCGAACCGGTCCTTGCTTTTCTGAAACCCACGAAAGCGAACCTTTGACAGGTGCACGGACCCGTGGCTTGAGCCTGGGGACATTTCTGGAGGATCAGATAGGTCTATCTTGACTTCCAGAATGCAGGTTCCACCGTCAGGCAGGATTCGGGATGGCACCTGATCTGCAGCCCCTGGATGGAACCCTTCCTCCCAGGACCGAACGACGAATCCCTACAGCTCTGGAAAAATCACAGCAATCACACAAACCCACTGCTCCCCACAGGACCACAGTTCCAATTTCTTTGAAAATCTACTTCCTAAGCTTTGTATATTTCCATGGTTTCTCTGTTTTTATTTGGCAAACATCCCTTCTTTATTATCACCACATGAACATCATTATTTGGACCTCTGCAAGGACTATATACATTCACATTAGCGTATACTCTTGACTTCTTGCCTCTCGGCGGGGCCCCCAGGAGCCCCGGTTTCAGTAGCTGGTCACTCCCCATATTGCACTGCAGTCCTGGGACTCTCTCACCGCGATGCAAGAAAATGCCAGACTGCAGGCCGCGTCCGCCGTGGGTCCTGCCACGGAGTACACGCGAGGGCTTCCTTACTCCTTCATTTCCTCCTTGAGATGGTTGGGGCAGCTGAGTGGGGTGAGGGGACAGGGCTGGGGGGCCCGAGAGACCGTGCCCCCAAGGAGCAGCTAGACAGAAACGCGGGGCTCTCTGCAGCTGACCGAGTCTCCAGCAGGTCTGGTGAGGGCTTTCTTTGTGTAGCTTTCCTTCTATTTCTGCAACCGTGTGCAGAGAGGAGAGTGGAGGCAGCAGACCCCAGGGCCGGGGTGGCGGCGGGCGGCCTCGTGGGGTGCGAGGGGAGGTAGAGGGGGAGAGATGGAGAAGCAGCAGTTCCCAGGCCCGGATGCTGTCTCCTCGAGCTTTGAGACGCAGTCAAGAATCAACCCAAAAGATTGTCACAGTTTGGTTTGAGTTACTCTCTCCTGGGAAGGACACAGTAGCGCGTTCTCACGCGTGGAAAACATGCATTGTGATGAGAATTCACGGAGGGCGTGAGGACAGACGGGGGTGGGCCCCGCACGCGCGGACACATGCAGACACGCACGCACGTGGGTGGGGAGCCCTCCGTCGCGGCAGAGAAACCCAAGGGGCCTCTTGTTGAGTGAAACCCTCCAAACCCCAATGTCCCCACAACCCCAAACACGGAATCAAAGAGAAGAGCACGACACCTGAACAAATCCAAAAGTGGAGTAAAACCGTGGACAAGATACTTTGGCAGTGACAAAACCATTTTGGATTTTGACTTCTTGTGTTTGCTTTTTGGATTTCCTTTGGAGCAGAGGTGTGTCCGGCGTCCTTGGCTGGCTAGCTGGTAAGGTAGTTTACCGGTATGCTTCCTTTCCTTTTTTTTTTTTTTTTTTTTTAAAAAAAAAAAAAAAAACCTTTTTGGATTTCTACTTAAAGCCAAAGAGTTTGACGTTAAAGGAAAAAAAACTCTGAAAAATGTTTCTCGACTTGGAAATTGAAATCGTTCTTACCGTCTTCACCGCGTCGGCCACGCGCCCCTGGGGTGGCTTCTGGGCCACGGCGGCTCAGACCTCCAGCTGTAAGATGTCAATTTTCTGTTTCCCGTTTTAAGCAGGAAGGGGACAAAACCCGTTTCCTTCATCCACTTCTGAGTAGGTCTGTTCCACAAAACCCCCAAAATTCTTCACTGAAAATAGAAGCCACCAAACAGATTTCTTCATTAAAGAGAAAGTGTACGAGGGTGATATCGACAGGAAAACGGGGGGCGCCCGAGCGGGAGGGGGACAGGCGGCGGGCGAACCGGTCACGCTCCGGCCCGGCCGCTCTGCCGGCTAAAGCTCGGTGGGGGTCTCTGAGGACGCTCGGAGCGGTCGTGGCGTGAGACCGTCAGGTAGCTGAGGAAGTTGCGTTGATGCAGTTTTTGTTGGTTCTGTTTTCTTTTGGAGAGAAGCGGTAGCAGCAGCGGCTCCCAGGGCCGGGGGCAGCGGCCGGCGGGCTGGGGGCCGGGCGGGGCCGGAGGGCACGGCATCCGTGGGCCAGGGGTGGGGGGAGGTCAGTGGGGCGCGGCGTCCAGGGGGCCGGGCGGGCCGGGCGAGCCGGGCCGGGAGGGCCCCGCGGAGCTGGCCTCGCTGGGGCTGGCGGCGCC